TCTAAAATGGTCTTAAAACGGTGCCTACAATATTATCGTTTATCGCAATAATTTCCAGAAAAATTTATCGTCCAACACAATTAATTATCGTGACAGGCCTAGCTGACAGCCCCGCTCCTGCCGTCCGCTTGCGGCAGACCACACTTCCACGCTCACCGGCGGCACCGACTGGCGATCGGGAGGACCGGGAGGGTGTGTGTATGTGTGGCGCGAGAGAGAGACCTTACGTGTATTGTTGTTGTTAGCATCTGGTGCTAGCTAGCTGCGCTAACGGATATAAGGAGCTGTTTCAATTAAAACAGAGTCCGACATTTCGCCGACAACTGCGCCGAGCACTTGACTTTATGCAGGTAGCCAGACGTGGGATATTGTACGAAAAGTCAGCACACTCAGCACGGATAGTGTGCGCAACATGATTGCAGCGTCCAGGCAGCTCCTGTTCGAGCATATGCCTTGAGTTGCACATAGCTCCAACGATCCTTCACACACACACACACACACACACACACACACACACACACACACACACACACACACACACACACACACACACACGCACGCACACACACGCACACACACGTTGTATTGTATTATTGTATGAGAGAGGTTCCCGGTTGAATTGAGGCGAATATTTGTAATGTTCAGAGGTTGTTGTGTTTAATATTCATGAGAATATTTGTCATTGTTCAAATGATAATAAACATTAGCATAAAGCATATTTGTCCACTCATATGTTGATAAGAGTATTACAAACTTGAAAAATATTCCTCTAAGGTACATTTAGAACAGATAAAAAATGTGCGATTAATTTGCGATTAATCGCGATTAACTATGGACAATCATGTGATTAATCGCGATTGAAATAACACATCTGAACACACTACACTGTCAGGATGTTTATTATTTGTCTTTTTATTACTTCCCCACAAGCTTCACTTACCAATATGTAGCGTCCTGGTTCAGCTCCATCACTGTCCTACAGCCTCCCTTCAACAGCTGGTCAATGAGCTATCTCGTACTTCTGTTTCAAAACACAATCATTCCTCTTACATGTCTTTATGGTAATAGAAGATATCTATCTATCCTAGCAAGGAATATAATCAGGAATTTCCCTCAAACACATTAGTGTACAAACACTCTCTCTCATAGAACTTCCTCTCCATGTATATTTACTTATTTATGTCGCATGACACACAGATTAATCCGGTTATGCAAATAATATGTACCGTGATTAAAAATAGACAACGTATAAAAAGCTTCCCAAAACAAGTCCTTCATCAGATACCAGGGCAGTAGTTCTGACGTTGGGTGGGCGCTTGTTAGAATAATCAGCCTTTGTGCTTTGCTAACTTTCATTTAAAGTTGTTTTACACTTTGAAGCCGACACATCCATTTCTCTTTCTGTTATTGTTTAACAGCTAGTTTGGTGTCTTCTGCCTCCACCTAGTGGTTCAACAGAGATACTGCACCTACATGCTTTGGTCATTTTAGTGTGACTCTGTTAATAGTGATTACTTCTTGTTTTAGTCTGTGTGGCTTGAGTAAGCAAGGTCTGTACAATTTATAAACTGGCTTTAATTTTTCGATTCAGTGGGAACAGCTGCGCCTGTACTATCTTGATTCTAATTTAGTTCTCCCTGCGTCTCCGTGTCTCTCTCTCCGCAGGCTGTTTGTTATTCCTCCTCCTGGGCCTGATGTACATGTTCCGGCCCAACATGTCCTTCGTGGCCCCGGTCCAGGAGAAGGTGGTGATCGGGATGTTCTTCCTGGGCGCCATTCTCTGCCTCTCCTTCTCCTGGCTCTTCCACACGGTCTACTGTCACTCCGAGGGCGTCTCCAGGGTCTTCTCCAAGTAAGACCACAGCCCAGGAACTCACACATTTCTAAGACTTTACATTCAAAAGACTTCCTTGTAAAGCGTCTGTAACGGTGCATGTGTGTGTTCAGGTTGGACTACAGTGGGATCGCCTTCCTGATCATGGGCTCCTTCGTGCCCTGGCTGTATTACTCCTTCTACTGCTCCCCCCAGCCCCGCTTCATCTACCTGATCGTGGTGTGCATCCTGGGCCTGTCCGCCATCACCGTGTCCCAGTGCGACTTCTTCGCCACGCCGCAGTACAGGGGGGTCCGAGCAGGTACAGTGACATGATACAAACCTTTATTTCCACTCAAAATAAATGGTCAGCCAGTTCCTAAACGTTTTTTATTATGTTCATGTCATATGCAATATATGCACCACAGCATGTCGTCAGACACTGTGCTTTACAAACATAATGACATCATCACAGGCAGCGTGATGACAGGTAACACTTGAGCCATTTCTTTCTGCTTCAAAAAGAAGGAATGCAACAGCTATTATATTTTTTATTTTAGATTGATTTAAAAGCTGCTCTAATCAATGTTTTATATAAGCTATGGATCAATGATCATAAGTGATGTGAAGTGGATCCCTCGTAGTGATGACCCACAGAGAATCCTCTCAGCCCTGCACAGCATCTTCCAGCTGATAGCTCTGGTTCACCTCTGTCTTTAGTGTTGTTTAACACAGTAAAAAGCTTTTAAACCACTGTGCACCCCTTGCTCTGCAACGATTGGCCGACAGGAACTATCTGGTGCACAAACTGAGCATTTAGCTGCTGACAAAACTGAGTGTGACCAGAAATATGACTCCTGCTTGTGTTGCTCTTTGTCTCTGCTGCACTGCCCCCTGGTGGCCGTAACCAAACGCTGGCATTTACAATGCCCCCCCCCCCTATCTGTGCTCAGGAGTGTTTGTGGGCCTGGGTCTCAGCGGCGTGGTCCCCACCCTGCACTTCACCATCAGCGAGGGTCTGATCAAAGCCACCACCATGGGGCAGATGGGCTGGCTGTTGCTCATGGCAACGCTCTACATCACTGGAGCCTGTCTGTACGCAGCCCGCATCCCAGAGAGGTTCTTCCCCGGGAAGTGTGACATCTGGGTAAGACACACACACACACAACATATTTAAACTAAATCTTAATAATAAAAAAAATGTTTTAAAATAAATTAATAATAATAATGACTAATCTCCTCCCCAGTTCCACTCCCACCAGCTGTTCCACATCCTGGTGGTCGCCGGAGCGTGCGTTCATTTCCACGGCGTCTCCAACCTGCAGGAGTTCCGTCTCAAGGCAGGGGGGGGGTGCGCTGAGGACGACACTCTCTAACACACACTGACTCAGTCTTACACTCACACATACACTGCGGGGAGCCACTGGTTCTTATGCACAGAATAACACACACACATAAAGCTAACAAACACACACACACCCCCCCTTCACCTGAGGACCAGCGTGTGTGCATACTACACAGGAGGGCCCCCCAGTGGGCGCTATTAAAACTGACTGACGAGGGTCTTTATTGTCTTTCTGTCCCTCTGTCTGTCCCTCCCTCCCTCCTCTGGCACTTTGATTATAAATCCTCTCCAGGAATTG